GTGACCAGGTAATGGTGTGTCACCTTGGGGACAGACAGGGCACACTGTCACCCACCCTGGATGTGGCATGTCACCCTGGGGCTGGGAAGGGACAGGGAAGGGACACACTGGGCACTGCCACCCTGGGTAGGTGACCAGGACGTGGCACGTCCTTGCAGTCACCCTGGGGACAGACAGGGCACATTGTCACCCACCCTGGATGTGGCATGTCACCCTGGGGCTGGGAAGGGACACGCTGGGTACTGGCACCTTGGCTGGGTGACTGGGATGTGGCATCACCCTGGGGACAGGCAGGACACACTGGGCACTGCCACCTTGGAGGTGTGATAGGGATGTGGCGTGTCACCCTGGGGACAGGCAGGGCACTGCCACCCCGTGTGGGTGACCGGGCCATGGCGTGTCCCTGCAGCCACCCTGGAGCGCGAGCTGGCGGCTGGCACGGCGGAGTCGCGGGAGCTGCGGGACCGAGTGCAGCGGCTGCAGAACGAGCTGATCCGGGTACGGCCCCGGGCACCGCCCCGGGCACCCCAAAGCCCTGCCCGGAATTCCCAGGGGATTTTCCCCGCAGAAAAACGACCGCGAGAAGGAGCTGGTGCTGCTCCAGCGGTGCCACCGCCAGCAGCAGGTGACACTGAGGAGGTGCCAGGACAGGGTGGCCAAGGCCAGGGCGCTGGGGCAGGCGCTGCGGCAGCAGGAGAAGGTGAGCGCGGGGTTGGGGTGACAAGGACGGGTTTGGGGGCACCGGGAGCCCCCGTGTCACCTCCACGGGGTGGGCACGGAGTCCTGGCACCGCGCTGGGGACACGGGGACAGCGGTGCCCTCTGCCCAGGTGATCGAGGCCATGGAACGGCTGCTGCGGGAGAAGCCGGGCAGGAGCACCGAGAGAGCCGCGGGTGGGTGTGGAGGGGACAGGGACACTCGGGGATGTCCCCAGCCCTCACTGGGATGGGCGGGAGAGACCCAGGGGTGGGTGTGGAGGGGACAGGGACACTCGGGGATGTCCCCAACCTGGCTGTGGGGTCCCTAGGATGGTCCAGGGTAGGCAGGAGACACCCACGGGTGGGTGAAAACGGGACAGGGGACCCTCAGGGATGTCCCCAACCCTCCCGCGGTGATCCCTGGCAGGGGATCTCTCATTCCCAAGCCCCCGTGCACGGCCGAGGCCGGGGCTCGCTGGAGCGGTGTCCCCGCGCGGGGAGGGACACAGGACACGTCCCGCTGTCCCCCCACGCCACCCCACAGGTGACAGCCTCGGTGGGGACGCGCTGGTGGCGCTGCTGGCCGAGAACCGGCGGCTGCGGGAGGAGCTGGAGCTGGCCAGACCCCCCCGGGCCGTGGCCACCGCTGTGCCGGTGAGACCGGGAGGGGACACGGGGCTGGCACCGGGGACAGAGCCGGTGGTGGGAACGGGGTCCATCCTAATCCCGCTCCTCCAGGGTGTCCAGGGGGGCACCGAGAAGCTGTGGCTACTGGCCAGGCTGGAGGAAGCCCAAGCCCGCGGGAGAGTGCTGGAGAGGCAGGTGGGCACCCCCCACTCCGTGCTGGGCAGCTCTGCTCCCCGCTGCCCCGTGTTTAGGGGTGACCCGGCGTGTTTTGGGGAGACCCGGAGTGTTTTGGGGTGACCCGGAGTGTTTTGGGGTCTGTCGCAGCTGGAGGAGGCGGCCAGGAGGTGGGGCCGGGAGAGGCAGGAGCTGGGGACGCGCCTGCTGGAGCGGGAGCACGGCCTCCCCCCGGCCCCGGTGAGTGTTGGGGGGACAGGGAGTGACCCCCCAGTGTCCCCAGTGACCCCCCCGGGCCCTCCCCCTGTCCTCGGGAGTGACCCCCAGTGTTCCCAGTGTCCCCCCCTGAACCCTCCCCGGGATTTCGGTGAGCCCCGGGGGGACAGGAGGTGACCTCTGGTATCCCCCTGCCCATCCCAGAGCCCTCCCCCTGTCCTCGGGAGTGACCCCAGTGTCCCCAGTGACCCCTCTAGAGCCCTCCTCCCGTCCTCAGTGGGTTCGGAGGGGAGAGGGAGTGACCCCCAATGTCCCCCTACCCACCCAAGAGCCCTTTCCTGGGCTTTGGGAGTGACTCCCAGTGTCACCCTGCCCACCTCAGATCTCTCCTCCTGTCCTCGGGATTGACCCCCCAGTGTCCCCAGTGTCCACCTGCGCACCCCAGGGCCCTCCTCCGGGCCTCGGGAGTGACCCCAGTGTCCCCAGTGACCCCTCCCGGCCTCGATGAGCACTGGGGGGACAAGGAGTGACTCCCCCAGTGTCCCCCTGTCCACCCCAGATCCCTTCCCCCAGCCTCAGGCGTGACCCCCAGTATCCCCCCGCCCACCCCAGACAGGGGTGCTACCTTTCCTCACCCCCCCAAAATCCTTTCCCCGTGTCCCCCCCAGAAGCTGCCCGCCATTCCCGTGTCCCCCCGGAGGCCACCGCAGGCCCTGCCCCCCCTGCCCTGAGCCCGCAGAGACGGAGACGCGCGGGGCTGGCACAGAGGAGCTTTTCCATGGATCAGCGGCAGAGCGCACAGGAGGAGAAGCGGAACATTCCGGGGGGGGGGGGGGGGGTCAGGGGGAGCTCGGTGTGACCCCCAAGGAGCCGAGGGGATCCCCCCACACCCCCTCACCCACCCATCCCGTCCCCCCGCGGGGTGGCCCCGCTTTATCTCCCCCGTGGCGTAAGCGCAGCCTTGAGCCCAGGCAAGGACGCGGCAGCCAAGGCTGCGGCCCTGAGCGCGTCCCAGCTGTCCCCAAACGCCACCCCGAGGCCACCAGGAGCTGCGGGGGTGTCACCGGGGAGGGGGGCTCCTCACTCCGGGCACTCCAGGGGCCGCAGGGTCAGCTGGATGGGTTTATCCGGGATCAGGATGAGGTCGAACTTGGTGCCGATTTCCACCGCTCGCATGGTCTCGATCTTGAAGTTCTCCAGGATCTGGGATGGAGGAGGAGGAGGAGGAGGACGAGGACGAGGAGGACGAGGAGGACACAACGGGTGGGGCCGGGTGGGTTTTGGAGGAGCGAGGTTGGGATGGGGTGACCTTCACGGCCATTCCACGGGTGACACTAGGGGACACTTGGGGGTGACTCACGTGCATGAGGAAGAGCTGCATCTCCAGCTCGGCGATGCGGCGCCCCAGGCACTGGCGGGGCCCGAAGCCGAAGCTGAGCCCCTGGAAGTGCTTGGGGCCGGCGGAGAGCCAGCGCTGCGGGAGGAACTGCTCGGGCCGCGGGAACACGGCGGGGTCACGGCCCATGGCGTACAGAGCCACCTGCACCAGCGTCTGCGGGACGGGAGGGGACAGTGACACCGCTGCTGCCGTGTCACTGTGTCACTGTGTCCCCATGTTCCCATGTCCTCCTGTTCCCGTATCCCTGTGTGCCTGTGTCCCCATGTCCTCGTGTCCCCACCTGCACCAGAGTCTGCGGGAGAGGAGGGGACGGTGACACCGCTGGTGCCGTGTTCCTGTGTCCCTGTGTCACTGTGTCCCTGTGTCTCCATGTTCCCATGTCCCTATGTCCCCATGTCCTCATGTTCCCGTGTCCCTGAGTCCTCGTGTCCCTGTGTCCCTGTGTGCCCATATCCCCATGTCCTCGTGTCCCCACCTGCACCAGAGTCTGCGGGAGAGGAGGGGACGGTGACACCGCTGGTGCCGTGTCCCTGTGTCTCCATGTTCCCATGTCCTCATGTCCCCATGTCCTCATGTTCCCTGTGTCACTGTGTCCCTGTGTCCCTGAGTCCCCGTGTCCCTGTGTCCCCATGTCCTCGTGTCCCTACCTGTACCAGCATCTGCAGGGAGCAGCAGAGACGGTGACACCGCTGCTCCCGTGTCACTGTGACCCTGTGTCCCTGTGTCCCTGTGTCCTCATGTTCTCGTGTCATTGTGTCCCCATGTCTTCATGTCCTCGTGTCCTCATGTCCCTATGTCCTCAAGTTCCCTCGTCCCTGAGTCCCTGTGTCCTCGTGTCCCCGTGTCCTCACATCCCCGTGTCCCCACATCCCCACATCCCCATGTCCCCATATCCCCTTGTCCCGTGTCCCCACATCCCCATGTCCCCGTGTCCCAATGTCCCAGGTCCTCATGTCCCAATGTCCCTGTGTCCCCATGTCCCGTGTGGCTCACCCTGGGGGGGATGCGGTAGTCCTGCAGGATGACCTCGTGCGTGGTGTACCTCTGCAGGGTCACGGCCACCGGGTGCAGCCTGCGCGACACGTGCCACCCGTGGGGCGGGGCTTGGGGACACAGGGACAGCCCGTCCCGCGGCAGGGCGCTCTGGGGAGGGCAGCTGTGTCCTCCTCGCCTGAGAGCCTCCTCTTCCTCCTCCTCACCTGAGAGCCTCCTCTTCCTCCTCACCTGAGAGCCTCTTCCTCTTCTTCCTCACCTGAACGTCCCCTCCTCCTCCTCACCTGAGCGCCTTTTCCTCTTCCTCCTCCTCCTCCCCTCACCTGAGAGCCTCTTCCTCACCTGATCACCTCCTCCTCTTCCTCCTCCTCACCTAAGCGCCTCTTCCTCTTCTTCCTCACCTGAGCGCCCCCTCCTCTTCCTCACCTGAGCGCTTCTTCCTCCTCCTCCTCACCTGAGAGCCTCTTCCTATTCTTCCTCACCTGAGCACCTCCTCTTCCTCTTTCTCCTCTTCCTCCTCCTCACCTGAGCGCCTCCTCTTCCTCCTCACCTGAGCTCCTCTTCCTCCTCCTCCTCCTCCTCCTCACCTGAGCGTCTCCTTGATGGCGGCCTTGAGCAGCCGTGTGGATTTCAGCATCCTCTCCCTGTCGCCGCCCGTCTCCCGTTTGGCTGCCAGGACCTCGGCCCGCAGCTGCTCCTGCACGCTCGGGGCCCGCGCCAGCTCCAGCATGGCCCACTGCAGGGTCATGGACGTCTGGGGGGACAGGGACAGGGCACAGAGCTGCCAGGACCTTCTCAGCCCTGCCAGGACCTGCTCAACTCTGCCAGGACCTTCTCAGCCTTGCCAAGACCTTCTCAGAGCTGCCAGGACCTGCTCAGAGCTGCCAGGACCTGTTCAGCCTTTCCAGGACCTGCTCAGAGCTGCCAGGACCTCCTCAGCCCTGCCAGGACCTGCTCAGAGCTTCCAGGACCTGCTCAGCTCTGCCAGGACCTTCTCAGCCTTGCCAGGACCTGTTCAGCCTTTCCAGGACCTGCTCAGCACTGTCAGAACCTGCTCAGGGCTGCCAAGACCTGCTCAGAGCTGCCAGGACCTCCTCAGCCCTGCCAGGACCTGCTCAGAGCTTCCAGGACCTGCTCAGAGCTGCCAGGACCTCCTCAGCCCTGCCAGGACCCGCTCAAAGCTGCCAGGACTGCTCAGTTCTGCTCAGGGCTGCCAGGACCTGCTCCTGCCCGGCTCAGCGCTGCCCCACCCACCCTGCACCACCCAGGACCTTCCTCCATCCCCACCCAGGACCCTGTCCCCATCCAGGACCCTGTCCCCAGGCAGGACCGTGTTCCCCCCGCCCCGTACCGTGTCCACCCCTCCGGCCATCATCTCGGTGACACTGGCTCGGATGTCCTCCAGGGGCAGCTTGTGGCGCAGGATGAGGTTGCCCAGGATGCCCACGTACTCCTGCGCGCTCCTGCGCCGCAGCCGCAGGTCCCGGTACACGTTCTGGATGCACTTGTCGGCTGAGGGGGACACGGGGACAACATCAGCGCGCCACCAGCCTGGCGGCGACCCCAGGTATCCCCCCTGCCCATCCCAGAGCGACCCCCAGTGACCCCTCCAGAGCCCTCTCCCCGTCCTCTGCGAGTTCTGCTGGAACAGGGAGTGACCCCCGATGTCCCCCGAGCCACCCACGAGCCCTTTCCTGGGCCTTGCGAGCGTCACCCAGCGTCACGCAGCGACAGAGGTGGCGGTGGGGGGGTGGTGGCACTGACCCTGGGCGAAGATGGCATCCCAGGCGTGCACGTGGTCGCGCCAGGTGCGGGTGTTGAGGCGGCGCAGCAGCGCGGGCGGCAGGTACAGCATGGGAGCCGTGGTGTGGAACATGCGCGACACGGCCTCGATGAAGCGCTGAGCCTCGGGCTGCACGAAATCCTGCAACAGCCCCAGGCGCTGCCCGTACAGCACGTGACACACGGCTGGGGACAGGGACACGTCATTGTCATTGTCACCATGGTCATAGGGATCAGCCCCAGGCGCTACCCGTACAGCACGTGACACACGGCTGGGGACAGGGACACGTCATTGTCACTGTCACTGTCACTGTCACCATCCCCACGGTCACAGGGAGCTCCCCGTACAGCACGTGACACACGGCTGGGGACAGGGACACGTCATTGTCACTGTCACCATCCCCATGGCCATGGAGAGCAGCCCCAGGCACTGCCTGTACAGCACTTGGCACACGGCTGGGGGCAGCGAGGGACATGGCACTGGCACTGTCACTGTCACCATCCCCACGGTCACAGGGAACTCCCTGTACAGCATGTGGCACACGGCTGGGCACA